TAATAAGAACTGGATACAGCGTGGGAGGTGGGGCCTCATTCATTCCTATGAGAGTTGCTCATTAGCGCATGATGATAAAATGGCCCAACTTTTGAGAGAGTGAAACGTCACAGATTACCCGGCATGCCTGAGAAGTACCCGTATGTGCGCTCATAGCGCATGCGCAACTTTAACCAAAATGCTCGTTCACATCAAGCACGTCAATTTGCGTACACGTAACAGCACCGCGCGTTCATGACAGCATGGGAATGGATTGTTATTATGATGGATTTGATATTAACGAGCAGTTAGCAGCTAGCGGCTAGCTAGTAATTATGCTAATGTACACATCAATCGTTATGTACTTATATTACGCTGTAACAGGATCTAGTGATATCCAACAGAGCTTCATTTAGCAGGAAAGAGTTATTGCACCGTATATATATATATATATTTATATATATACACAGTGCAATAAGCTTCTTAGTGCAATAATAAGCTACAGGGACTTATTATGACTGTAGGCTACAGTCACTACAGTGTATACTGTATAGTAGGTGTGTAACAGTGTAAATGCCCTGACACACCAGGCCGATATCGGCTGTTCTCGTAAGTCGGGAGACGAAGCGTGTCCTGTCGCCCAAACTCAATTTGGTGTGTCCCGCACCGTCGACCGTGACACGCCTTATTTGGACTGCCAGACCCGATGTTGAATCGGCCATGCATCAGGACAGGCAGTCGGACCAAACAATCACTCTGATTGGCTGTTCAGCTAGCGAATCAGTGCATGAGAAGCGAAACGGAAGTGAGGGACGTAAACAAACGATTTAAGAAGGCACACACAGACTGCTATTCATTTTCATCTCATTATGGCGATCTGGAATGACGGAAACGAAGACCTGCTCATCACATTGATCCAGGAGAGGCCAGCTCTGTACGACATCACAGAGAAAAGGTACTCGAACCGAGTAGTGAAACCCGACTCTGGCCAGAGATTGAAACGCAACTTGGTTTCTCGGGTAAGATTATCTTTTTCATCAATTGAGCTCTTTAGCAGATATTGTTGGCTTTTTATTGTTTGCCAGCGTACAGTGACGTTAACGTGAAATGTAATTTGTTATTTCAACCTTGTGTTTTCTTGTTATCTTGTTGCTAGCTGTTGCTAGCTGTGCAGTTTGGCACTGCATATAGATATGAATTGGACATGCTAACTAGCCACAATGCTTACATCGTTTATTTGTGTGCTTCAGAGAAAGAGCTGAGGAAGAAGTGGGATTCTCTGCGAACCCAGTACACCCGGTACAGGAGACTTGCCCCTTCGGGTGGTTGTGGAGCACCAAAGACGGGCAGACAGCAGTGGATCATAACCAGGCTGCAGTTTGCACACGCTATTTGTTGTTGTTTATATCACGCAGTCTGTTCTTCTTCTCTGTCTTCCGGTTGTTGCCTATTTTTAATGACGAATACACACTACCGCCGCCTGCTGGTAAGGAGAGTTATTGCCACTCACGCACTGAAGTCTTTGCGGTGTGTTCCCGTGCGACACATGGCCAAGACGCAGGAGAACACAGCAACGCAACAGCCGACGTCGGCGTCGGCGAGTCCTCTGGTGACTGCTTGGTGTGTCAGGGCCTTAATGCGTATAGTCTACACTCTACCTTTCAGCAACGTTTTAGGGATTTAGGCTCAGTCAGCTCAGGGACTGTTTGGTTACTTTAGTTTGGTAAATGAAATACATGTTTGAACTTTGTAGTAGTTCACTGTAGTTGCTGTCATAAGTCATTTGTAGACTAAGAGGCAAAAAGTGTTTTTTTTACATTTGTACTTTGTTGAGAAATGTAGACACAAGTTGGAAGGGAGCACAATAAACCTGACGAGTTTGAATTTGAGTTGATTATGAGTTAATTTTCAATTGATAATTAGCTCACAATAAGTTCACTTTAGTTACTCACACAACTTGACACAAGCCATGGGTTCAGGTCCGGACTTATAAGTCCGGACCTGAACCTGAACCTCTGGACTTGAGTCCGGACCTGAACCTGAATGTGAGTCCAGGTACGCAGCACTATGTGGGAAGAGGAGGAGAGAGACGCGTCCTAAAACCAGGAAGTAAGCTGTGCATGGCTTCCCTCCACAAAAAAAAGCAATGAGATTTCTCCATGGGATTTTAGAAAATAGCTCAAAATAAGATCTGTGGGAAACGTAGCTGTTAGATAAATGCATGTTTTGTTCAGCCGGATAATATCCACATGTCTACCCTATTTTTTATAATTTTGTAATCATAAATCTATCGATTAGATTTATGATATACTTTTGAAACTACAAGAAGATAAGGAGGACTTTTACAAAAAAGTAATAGAGATTTTTGTCCAGAAGGATAGGCAAATGGACTTCATCTTCAAGTCAAGGTAAGACCGCAATTTTATTGAAAATGGGATCTTACTAAGAGAGAACAATTCAATATTTAAATGATAAAATTACATTTTTTGGGTATCCTTTTGTTGAACTGTCTGTTTAAAATTAATCGAAGCATCAGACAAAAAAGCTTTTGAAAATAATACTATATTTAGATTTAGGTCAAAATATAATATTTGTAAACCTAAAGAGTCAGTGCCAGTGCCTCACCAGCCATGCACCTCACTGCAGAAGCTTATATATAGACATCTAAGTTTTTTGTGCCCCACCACTTTTTGTACATAAAGAAACGCCACTGCGAACACAGGAGGGATTGGCTGTCTACAAATAAAGACGGCTCATTTTAATTCTCCCCAAATATATTGAGGCTGAACCTGAACTTTGAATTCTCTGCTCCCATCATAATCTTGGAAATCTTGTTAAAATTGTGAATGCAGAATTAAAAATACTATGAAACTGGTTTGCAGTTAATACATTATCCCTTAATGTGGCCAAAACAAATTACATGTTATTCAATACAAAGTCTGAGAGTAGAAATGACTGCATTATACGGATTTGCAATACAGAGATAGAAAAAGTTGGTGCATGTACATTTTTAGGACTGCTTGTTGACGAAAAACTCAATTGGAAGCACCATAATCAATTATGTACAGACTAAACTGTCAAAAACAATAGGTATGTTGTATCATACTAAGAACATTCTTGAAGAAAATATACTCTTTATAACAGTCTATTTCTCCCTTACCTTTACTACTGCTCCGAAATATGGGGAAACACGTACTCAACAAATCTACAAAAAATAATAACATCCCAAAAAAAAGTATTACGAATAGCCTGTGGTGTTGGTAAATATGAACACACAACTCCCATATTTAAAAAAACTCAATCGATTAAAATGTGTTGACATAGTACAGCTTAAAACAGTACTGATTATGCACAACATTTTCCATAAGGAAACCACAGCGTGAACATATGAATGTAAAAAAAGTCATTTGAAAATAAGTGTTCACAATGTTTATATGCAATTATGCATATATTATTATTATTATTATTCATTTGCCAAGTACCTATGTATATATTTATATATAGTATTTTAATTTCCAAAAAAATATAGTTGAAACTGCTATTGACATGTGCAGAAAATGACCCTATATATAGTTTTCGTATATATATATATATATAAATATATATGCATTTATTGTTTCCTGCACTAAACTTTTATTACATTTTTTCTCCTGTTTTCTTTATTTCTTTGTACTCCTTCATTTCTATACGTTTTTGACGCAATAATGCCGCTGTATTAGGATGATGCACGGGAGGGCTACTTTCCACAAGCGTCTACTAATTTTGTTCATCTTTGTTTGTATGAATTAAACTTTTTTTGTTTTTTGGATGAATACAAAAAAATAATACTTTCAGCTTGGGGTCCCCTAGTGGCCGCGGGGGCCCTATGCCCCGCATAGTCCGCATATAGGAAGAAACGGCCCTGTTGATAGGTGTGTGCGCTGTCTTTCATTTTGACACGCAGAAAAATGTTATAATAAATAATATAATAATATAATAATAATAATAATAAATAATATATCCGCCTTCTTTCATTTATCTTTCCATTCCCACAACAATATACATAAAGAAATGACATATTTTGGACATAGTTCGAATGGTGATTAATCATGATTAATACATTTTTGAACTGTGATTAATCTGATTAAAAATTGGAATCGTTTGACAGCCCTAATAAAAACAGCTCAATATTTTAGGGAATAGATAGCCCAGTGGGTAGAGCCGGCGGCCCGAATGCGGCGATGTCCTCCGCGCAACTGGTTCAAAGCCCGGAATGGATGTATTTTAATCATTGTTTTTCAACTTTAATAACTGATAAAAGGCCCTCTCCTCCCAAAAAAATGTCCACCACTATCTAGTCTCTTCTCAATAACCCAATACACACAATTGTCAATCTTTAATTGCAAATAGAATATGATATTTTCAATGAACCTATTTCCGACACAATTGTCCAAGGTTCGATGCTTCATTCAAAGCGTCATTTTGCCATCACTAGCTATTGTCACACACACACACACACACACACACACACACACACAACACACACACACACACACACACACACACACACACACACACCACACACCACACACACACACACGCACACACACACACACACACACGCACACACACACACACACACACACACACACACACACACCACACACACACACACACACACACACACACACACACAGAGCCGAGCTTGAATGACACAATCACACGTTTATTTCCATGCAACTCTCTGATTGGTCTGGTGTCATGCCTCCGTTGCATTCACTGAACACGGGAAATTACACTCCTACCGTCCTCTCTTGTGTCATGATGAAGTTCACGTAAAGCACGGTCAATGTACCCTAGGCCTGTTATATTATATTATTGTCCGGGGCTAGCCGTCACACTGCCTGATTTTAAAGCGCTTCTTAAAACCCACCTCTTCTCCTTAGCGTATTAACATATTTTAGAGTGTAGAAGTTAGAAGTAATGTTTCCTATCTTTCCCGTGGAACATTGAATGCAGCATTAAATGGGTCCGTTGATGACAAATGTGACGTCAGCGGCTCGGCTCACCTTTACCTGTGTGCGCGCTCACGAACAGCAGTTACGCGTGGACATGCGGAAGTGAACGCCAGCAGCCAGAGTTCCTGTTGGAGCAGTGAGCCGAGGGATGGTGAACATGTGAGGGAGAATACTGCCTTTCAACCCGGGACACAACATGTTCTTCAGGACCGCCGAGGTAGGCCCTGGCCCGGGAAACGGCTGCTTACACTTGTATTGAAACGTTACAGTTACACTGCTGACCATTGCGTGTCCCTGTCCGAGATCACGGACTTCAGTAGTTCTGATTTAAAGGACGTGTATTCTTCTGTCTAACCGAGAAGCACTGACCAGTCATTCCGGTTTAAGAATTAAAAAGAGGAACACTGTAGAATATTTGAATCACTCAGGAACTTCTCTTTATTTTCAACAAGAAATCTCCTTAAAATACTAAGAAAACATATTTTATTTACTGTCCACAGTAGCCTACTGAATGTATGTAAAGCGACTAACAAATGACATGACATGTAATGTAATAACGAAGCAGATGAACACTGCGTGTGTGCAGTGGGTCAGAAATGGAACCCGTTTATCAGCAGGAGCAGTGTACACACCCTGCTTGAGTTTCGAGAGAGAGAGAGAGAGAGAGAGAGAGATCTCAAACTGTAAAGAGTTCCAACGAACCAAAAACAAGCTGTGACCAACCCAAAGGATGAGTTAAGATTTCGACAATAAATTCAATGTGCAAATACACTATACTTAAGTACACATTTGAGGTACTTGTACTTTACTTGAGTATTTACATTTGTGTTACTTTGCACTTCTATTCCACTTGAATTCAATAAATCATGTAGGCCCTACTTTAAGACCCACATTTATTTAATACCTTTAGTTACTTTCCACCTTTACCAGGCTTCATAACAAAACACATCATACATTATATATTACTCTGAAATGGACCAATCTGCTCCATGACTACTTTGACTTTTTACTTTTCTACTTTAAATTGAGTAACATTTTGAATGCAGGATGCAATATTTAACTTTTTAACAGAGTATTCCTTCACTCTGGTACTTTTACTTTTACATTAGTACTAGATCTGAGTACTTGACTTCTCCCACCACTGCACACCTGACGTGATTACGTTACTCAAATTAGACACACAATAGACATTAGAGCTACAAATTATGGAAGTGGGAAACTGTGCATTTCTCCAAATGAATGTGATGCCTCTTGGCCAGATGTTTGGCCAAGTGTTCGGACAGATTGTTCGGATAATTGCTTGTGTTTCCGAGCTAACGCAGAAAAACAAATGGCAAACGAGCATTGTCCACATGGAGCCTTAGTTAGGGTAACTCCAGAACGCTGCGCAGATCTCTGTGTGCACGACGCTGCAGCGTGAGAGAGAGCTGCCGCGCACACAGAGCAAGAATAATGAGATTGCAAGTTAGAAACAGAGTTGGTTCGATTAAATGTAGGTAACTTTTATGTAGCAATAATAAATATGAAAGCTGTTTTATATATATTTTACATTTCTCCAGTACCGATAACGTCGGAGCAGTATGGGGGGAAAAAAACATATTATATAGCAGGCTCATAATTACTTTCTACAGATCTTTGTAGAGATTTGTAAATTTAAAAGGTTTCTTGAAAAGTCCAGCTCACTAGTTTTACTTCTGAAAGATGATTGTGACCCGTCATATATCAAATATTCTTAATTGTGAGATCCATGGCTTACCTAATTGAACAACAGCATAAGGGGAGAAGAGTCATGAAGTTAGAAAAGATAGTCGGTAAGGTGTGTTATGGAGCAATACCATTAGCCATCATAAGCTCACTTGTCACACCAGAGCAGTGTGCTTCAACTATAATGAATTTCACTTGAGGATGATTGTGTTATTTATTTTCTGTGTGTGTGTTACAGGAAAGTTTGGAGCTGTCGGACAGACAAAAGGAGGGTTACAGCACTGAGCCTTTACTTCCTTCATTGGTAAGTATAAGCGTCATCAGTAACATGCAAACAGAGAATATATCTGCTCATATGAAAGGATTCTTTGACCCTGCATGGACAGAGAAACCTGCGTGTGGTGCTGTTAGACAAACAGAGAGTGTCATCCTAAAGGCCCTTCCGTCATCATACATTAGACCGGGCTCTGTCTTTGCATCTTATTGATTGTGCTCTCTGTTCTATCATGGTGTAACTTTGAGCTGAGTTAAACCTGACAGACCCCAAATCTGAAACATGGACCTGCACACAACTAAACATGTGTAAACATCCAAACCTGCTTCTTGGGACAGAGCCCAGCTTCGATGAGTGGGTATGCTTGCTAGCACCACGCTATGACACATACATCAGACAGGATATACTTAAGATGAGGCCCAACACAGCCTGCGTGTAGGGAGGGGCGGCCCTGGTTAGTTGAACTAGCAAACCAACTAAACGGTTTGCTGTTTGAAAGTATTACAGTCTGACTGTCCCACTAGTAACATATGCACATTTCTCCATAAATATATATTTTTTTACATTTGATATTTTTCAGTAATTGATCTGGCAACATAGCACCGTAGATAAAGGCTTATAAAATGTGAGTTTCTCTCGTGTTACCAGCGAGTATATCTAATGAATAACAGTCCTGAAATAATACTTTTATCACACATTATTTTACATATTATGTATTCACTGTGGCGGCTAAATTCCCATTAATTGAGTCACCAAGAGTCTAAACTTGGCTTTATGCTTTGACGTGTTTTCAAGAAGTTGAAAAGTTGATGGCGTTAATTAGACAATTAAATCCACAATAACTTATGTAGGACCAAACCAACCTGGTATCACGGCTAGACGTGAACATGTCCCGTTGGTCCACTGGGAGACGTCAGTGTTAGGGATTCATTTTGTCTTTACTCCTAGACATTTAACATTATTTTGTGGTGTGACCATGTACGACCATCCCTGCTTCTAATCTCCCGTAAGGAATGTGTTAATGCTGTCGTATGTTGATACTAGGGTTTATGGCCTGACACCAGTGGGCACAAGGGGGGTTTTCTAAGCTCCAGAGACGTGAGAGACATCTCCTGTGTCTGCAGATGTGTTTACGCCCATCCCCAATATGTGGATTTGACTCTCTGTAAACTAGTTAAAAGGTCTACCAAGATGCGAGGCTGATCAGATTTGACATTGCAAACCACCCGTGCAGTCAGAACCTTTGACTGTGTGACTTGTGATGTGAATTTCTCCGGCCGATGCTTGTATTAAATATCAGTGTTTGACATCAGAACTCCTGCTCGTCCCGTGTCTCCTTCATGAGTCGGTGACTCCCACTGCATTGCTACACAGAAGTTTCCACCTGGGTATTTGGAGAAATACCCGGGTGTTGACAAGCAAGCCTCCATCACGATTTTTGGTTCACTATAACACAACAGTTTGTGGAGAATACGAAGATTTGTTCAGGTCTCACCAGGGAAATGTTTATATACTATGTATGTTACTAAAGAAGTTTTAGATTGGCCAGTGTCCATGTAAAGTATCGTCATCTCTCGGAGTGAAAACAGTATTTCCGGTGTTGGCGTTTTCATAGTAACGTCGTTTCTAGGGGCGTAGCTCACGCTTCATATACCCGGAAATTAGTAATCTCATCACTGTCGGTTGATTTTACAGTGATATCTGCAGTACTCATCAAATAAAAAAAAGTTGTGGATAGAACGAAGACATTACACTACCCATGATCCTCTGGAATCGTTGAAGCTCTGTGATTGGATGTGTTACTCGCAATGCATTTCGGGAGACGTAGTTGAAACGATAAATAGAACAAAAAAATGTGTTGAAAAGAAAATCATACTTAATGTGATTGCTTTTCCCTTTGAAAGTCATCACATAAATGCATTGTAATAAACGGTTCGGCTGCATTAAATATTACACATCTGACGTGGTTTCTTTATTTATAGGGCCTTGGGGCTTCATTTATAAAGCAATCTTTGCGATTTATAAAAAACAAACTTGACTGGAAAATGTGCGTTCCTCCACGCAAACTCTTGACCCACGCATACGCACAAAAGAGAGATGAGACGTTGGAAGAATGGAGAGAAATATGTGAAAATAATAACATAAATAAAATGTTACCTCTCATTTATCATATGTGAAGAATCCATTTGCAAAAATTGATTTAAGCCAATCTTAATATGATTAACCCTTGTGTGGTGTTTATATTTTTGTTATTCAGCCAGTGTTCGTGGGTGTGGTGGACCCGCTGCCTTTTTGGGTTTCAATTCAACACAATCAAACCATTTTATGTTAAAATACTCAACATATGTTTACTTCATCCCAATTAAAAGCATTATAAACAGCATATATGGTTAATATTTGCCCTTTTACATTTGTTAGATCACATTAATTAATTAAAGTGCTACTCGTTTTGTTGCCCGCTGGTCCTGTGGCTCGTCTTTTTTTCCCGTAACTACCTGATGCTCAATCTCATCCTCTTCTTCAAAGTCACTGTCAGATCCTTACATTCTGAAACCTCTTCCTCTATATCAGGGGTATTCAACTCAAATCCAACGAGGTCCAGTTAGAGAAAATCTCCCCATGCAAAGGTCGGAACATCTAAATGTCTAACTTGCTTTATGAATTAGTGTGATATATATTGAAGTAGCTGTAGCTTATCAACGTCTGCATGTCATCAACAACTGACTGCCAATCAAATAAAGAAAGTACAATTCATAAACACAATATTTATTGTCAATTAACATTGAACTCTACAGATATACAGTAAAATACTGTGGATATGTGTAATGTTCCTCTCGGGCTGCATTTAAAAATAAATAAAATAGCTTTTGAAAATATGTGCATCTTAAAAGTGCTTAATTTTAGATAAATAAAATAAAGTGTAGCAGCAGCTTGAGTTTCCCTTTTTCTTTGTTAACCGTTTCACATCATGACTTAACAGTTTCAGCCGATTATAGAACAATATCAGTCTTTACAAATCATAACAATTGAACAGTTTTAAAGTTTCTCTTTCTTTCCCTCTTATATTTGTCATGGCTTGGCTCTCAGCCACAACAAACGCGCGACAGAAAACGAGGGCGTGAATAGAAAAAAGAGTTTATTCACTGCTGCTGAAGGACACAAACAGGCGAAACAAACGACGAAACAAGAGGTCAGCTGGTCGTGGCTGATCGCGTTGTATCCTCCTGCCAGAGAGAGAGAGAGCGAGATCCGGCCCGGTCCTTTATCCAGCTAGCTCCAGCCGCCAGGTGTCCTCAATCCCAGCTGATAGACCAAAGGGTAAACCTTAAAGGAACATACACACACCAGAGATAACAAGGCAGGGGTCGTCACATATTGCAGTCCCTCACTCACTTGTTTTTGTTCAGTGCGAGAATTGAGCTTGTCCTGCCAGGAGTTTAGATCTGGACTGAAATGGAGTCAGGGCCATTCTCATACACACATGCAGGTGCTCATTGGTTAGCCTCGGTTAGCCTACCCAGGAACAATAATTAGTTTTAATTTTGATCCTGGTGGACTGATCATATTGGGCTCTGAGACTGCTTATTTGTTGTGACCTCAGTTCTGACTTGAGAGGGAGTGTTTTGTCTCATAGTGGCGTTTTGGCACTTTTAATGAGCGCCACGGTCTCTGAACAAATGAGACACACTGGCTCTGTGCTCCCAGTGGGCAGGATGAACATGAATGAGTCCGTCCACTCAGGGTTAAAAGCTCTGTTCTCACTGTCCACTTTCCTTTTCTTGGAGAGCGCTATGTGTAATTATTTGTCTCTCCCTGTCTGCCGCTAACACGCCTGTTCGCTCTCTTCTCCGCTTCTCTCCCTGTATCGCTAACTATTCTCTTCACTCACTTTCCTCTCCACTTCTCTCTGCCGCGCTCTCATCTCTTCTTCTGTGTTTCTCTTCTTCTGTGTTTCTCTCCCTGTATCGCTCTCTCGTCTCTTTCAATCAATAGGATACGGCTGTAATAGGCCTAAGGCCTTTTAGTCGCTCATAAATAAATAAGTAGATCACTGATTCTTTATTTACTATGGATGCTGGCAACAGTCACAAAGTGATTGGTGATGTTTGACAGGATTTGAGACAGTTAACAGTCTTGGATGTGACAACGCTTTCTGGTAGATCATTCCACAAGTCAACCACACACAGGCTGAAAAAGTTGCGGCGGATAGCCAGTCTTGAGTACTGTTTCTTCAACTTGAGGCAGTGTCCACGAGTCCCGGTGTTATAATCCCGTTGTAGTGGGCATGATGTTTTGTAGATGTTGTGGAGATATTTGAAAACGTCGATCATATCTCCCCTCGCCCTTCTATAATACATACTTGGGATTTTAAGACTTTGCAGTCGTTCTTGATATGGTAGGTCCTTTAGTTCTGGAACCAGCTTCGTTGCCCTTCTCTGTATTTTCTCGATGAGCTCAGCATCCTTTTTGTACATGGGGGACCAAGCGACATTCCCATACTCGAGGAGTGGCCGTACAAGAGAGATGTATAAACTACGTCAGAGTCCAAATAAGTGTATGATCTGCGGATCATTGCTAGGATACCATTCGCTTTGTTACTTGCCCAAAGGATATGGTCACTAAATGTCAGGGTATTATCAACATTCACACCAAGGTCCTTTTCATTCTGCATCTCGGATAGGTTTATAGTGTTTGAATTATCACTCATATTTTTGATTCAGAAAACCTAAGTGCATTACTTTGCACTTTGCTGCATTGAATTTGAGCTGCCAACACTCGGACCATCTTTGCATTTCTCTGAGATCTGACTGGAGTTTTTCTGCATCCTCTTTACACTTAATTTCCTTGAAGACTTTAGTATCATCTGCAAACATCTGGACCATGGAGCTCACATTATCGGGTAGGTCGTTGATATAGAGGACAAACATCGCACGACCCAGGACACTACCTTGTGGAATTCCACTGAGAACTGGGCACCATCCAGATGGTTTCCCGTTAACAAAGACTCTCTGTCGCCTGTTTTTGAGAAAGTCTGAGATCCAGGTGAGTATGTCTTCACGGATACCATATCCATTGAGCTTCTTCAGTATTCTTTTGTGAGGTACAATATCAAATGCTTTCTGGAAATCCAAATAAATGGCATCGAGACTTCCTCTCTCGTCCAGGGTACGAGACCATATGTCAAGGCAGGCCAGGAGCTGGGTTGAATAGGATCTGCCCTTGACGAAGCCGTGTTGGCGGTCTGATAATAGGTTGTTTGAGTCAAGATGTTCTATGACAGCGTCACGCACCAAGGATTCAAGGAGTTTGCATACTACTGCTGTAAGGCTGACGGGCCTATAGTTTCCAGGATTGTTTCGGTCACATTTTTTGAATATAGGAGTTACATGACCATCCTTCCAAGGCTGTGGTACCACACCTTCATCAAGCGATTTTTTTAAATATAGTAAGTAAGGGTTTATCTAGTTCGTCACACAGTTCTTTGAGAATCCTGGGATAGATGCCATCCGGTCCTGATGCTTTTGAGGCATCTAAGTTCGATAGTTTTTTATGGATGTCCTTTGATATGAAGTCCAATTTATTGAGTGTAGTGTTAAATAGCCTGTCCTGGAAGTCTGGTATTGATGAGGTATCCTCCTTTGTGAACACACTAGCAAAGAAGGAATTTAGTGTATTGGCTTTGTCCTTGTCATTTTGAGCCAGGCTGCCATTAGCCTTTTTCAGATCTCCGACTGTGGCATTGACTTTTAGCTTGCTTCTGGCATATTTATAAAAAGCTTTCGGATTCTCTTTGGCTTCCTTTGCAATTTTTCTTTCATGCTCTCTTTTAGCTTTCCGACATTCCCATTTAACTTGGTTGCACAATTTTGCATAGGAACAACGGTCACTCTCTGTACCAGATAACCTTTGTAAGGTGTAAGCTGCACTTTTTGATTTGATTTGATGTTTGATTCTATCATTTATCCATTCTGGAGTAGAGCAATTTTTCTTACTTTTTCCCGATGACATAGGGATGTGCCTCTTGCAACTTGTTAGGATTTTTTCTTCCATGGCATCCCACTGTGCTGAAGCTGACTTGTTTTCAAAGGTCTGTGCCCAGTCTGTCCCAATCATTTCCTGTTTCAGGCCTTCATAATTTCCTTTATCAAGGATGAGCTTGCGGTTTGGATTATCCCATATCTCATGGTAGCATAGACATTTGAAAGACAGGCAGTCATGGTGACTTTTTCCTAGTGGTGCTTCATGGCTTAGATCCTCAACCATTCCCTCCTCATTTGTGATAATTAGGTCAAGCACGTGTGGGGTTTGGTTTCCTCTTGCATGAGTTGGTTTTGTTACATGTTGAAATACGTAGTGGTCTCTCAAGCATTCAAGGAACATGGATGCAGGGTGGTTTTCACTCTCTGGTGCCCGTATGGGTTGCCAACCAATTTCAGGATAGTTAAAGTCTCCCATAATTAAAACGTGGCTGCGGTTTAGTGAGGAAGATTCTTCAACTAAACTTCTAGTTTCAGAGTTGCCGATATTTTTGACAGTTTAGTGACCGGTAAACACATCCAACCAGAAGACGGTCCGTATTGCAGAGTTGTATTTCACACCACACAGATTCTGTAGATGTACAGCCCTTCAAGTTCTTAGGTACTGCTCTGAGGTAGGATTTAGTGTAGATACAGACACCTCTTCTACCCTCATCTAGATTGCTGAAAATGTCATATCCACTGATTTTCAATTCACATAACTGGATTGGTACTTGTGGGTTTTTTGGAAGTGCTTCACTAATAGCTATAATATCTGGGTCATTTTTATCAATGTTTGCTACCAGTTCATTTCTCTTATTCATAACAGAATCTGCGTTAGTCTAAAGATATTGAATGCCCTTAGAAAGTCCTCTACTACTCTCTGAGTTGTTATTATTTATGTATGTGTGGGTTCTGTCTTGTTTTAATTTGGTTTGAAAACAACTTTCATCCCACACTGGTCCTTGTATTTTGAACCGCCACATTTTCGTTCCGTCCTCTTCCATTTTGATTTTTGCTTTCTTGACAAGGTCGTTCCTCTGTTCCCGTTCTTCTTTGGAGAGGTTGTTTGCCACACTTATAACTTGAACTTTGCTGATGCGTTCTTCAATTTGTGGAGACTTGACATTATTTTTCCTTTCTCGAAAGTGGAATTTGTGGTAATCAGCATTGGTCTGTTTTTTTCCGGTTCTTGAGTCCCGAGGCATATCACCTTTGATGCCAAAACCCCTTCGATTTCCAACTCGTTTTTTATCAGATCGTTTATCCAGGAATGCTTCTTTCACAACTTCGCCGTCTTTGAAAGACTTCATTTGTTTAGCAAGAACGTGCCTGACACGATAAGATGCTATGGTAGCAGCCTTGCTCTTGTTGTTGGGCCTGGTGGAAATGGACTGCTGTGCATTTAGCTGTCCTTTCAGGCCCCTCCCCTTTTGGGAGCGTAGGGCAGAATTAGGAGGGAATTCCGTCTCGTAGCGTTTGTGCACTGTTTTGAAATGCCGCTCCTAAATTACCCTTCTTCGATAAAGCCACGCTCGCATTGCAGATGAGACAGATGGACTTTGAATTGGAATAGATACAAAAATAATCATCCTCCCACTCGGAGTGAAAATTATATATTTTGGGCTTTTTTGCTTCTGCCATAATTGCGGTCTTGTGTGTGTGTGCGGACTGTCACTCCTGTTGACACGGACAACGTCAGCAAAATAGTGCCCACTGCCCACCAGCCACGCCCCGACACATGGGGTCACGCCAATCACAAAGCTTTGATGCGTTCAAGTGCATTATTCTGGCACAGGAAGATTATGTTATAGACAGGGGTGCACATAACTGGTACGCATGCACGGCAACAATCTGAAATGCGTACCGTCACTTGTGTCACAAAGCGCATTTGCGTACCGACGTACTTGTGAAGCTTTTCCAGAAGGCGGTTAGATCACTGGACGACAGAGTCGGTCTCCGTGTGCACAGACGGGCTGCTTTTAACGTCGGTCTGTACAACGGAATTGTGCCGAAACTACGCCAACCGGCAGCGGAGGGAGACTCCTGCCCTTCACTGGAGAACTGCGCTAAAACCGCTGATCACAACGTTCAAGCTCTGTGGTCATGAAGTACTCCACTAGCCCTTGATGTTCGCGATACAGAGGGCTTCATCAAATAACTTTGAGTGGAGCCAGAAGTTGGAGTACCCAACACTGACTCCAGGTACTCATCTGAGTACCTCACTGAGAAAGTTATGTGCACCCCTGGTTATAGAACATTAACGATAAAACAGAATATTGTTGTTCTATTTTTAGACAAATCTCGCGATCGACTCGGAATCTCCGATCGCGATCGACTGGTTGGGCACCCCTGCTCTACATCATCATCAAATGGTTCTCTTCCTAAATCATTTGCAAGGCCCTCTGAGCAGAGAATTGTTTGGCCATCTTGATCAGTTGTGATAAGGACCCAAACTGGCGAAGCTTTATTTATTTCCTTAAAATAGGTTGAAAAATGACTTTCAGGCATTTAACGGTTAGATATTGTAATTCTGATTCCATAGATGTGTCTCCCATCACCTAACACCACTGACTATTCTCTCAACTCAGTGTTTACATTCTAAAGAAAATCAATAATATCCTTAAAAACTACAAGTACCATTATATCAGCTTTGTACCGTGATGCAAAACGACAACATATTTGTAGTTTATTTTTGGTATGCAAAGAGCTGTTGTGATAAGGGTTTTAGAAAAGCCTATCTATCAATTTGATCAATATGAAAATAAGCCAAATTACTATTGATACTGCAAGGAGACGTATTGTGTGAAGAGAAATGAAAGATGTTGTTTAAATGCGTTATATTTATGATCCACTTCATGCATTCAGTTTTGTTGTCAGAGGGCTTCCAGTTTTTCCAAATTGTCTTCTCATCAGGGCTCTATAAATAGAGAACTACGGCAGATATGTAATATTTAATGCAGCCGAACCGTGTATTACAATGCCGTAATGTGATGACTTCCAAAGAGAAAAGCAATCACGCGGAATAACCATGGGCGTCGTCTGGGGTAGGCATCCGGGGCTAAAGTCATGGGTAGTGTAATGTCTTTGTTCTATCCAAAACTCAGAGGGACATTTTTGTCTCGTCGAAAGGGAAAAACACAAAAGCATTGAACACAATTAAAACCAATGAATGTTGTGTAATTACAGTAAGGACACACTGGTGTTTTTTTATTTGATGAGTACTGCAGATATCACTGTAAAATCAACCGACAGTGATGAGATTACTAATTTCCGTGCTTTGCAGCGAGAGCTACATCCCTAGCAACCACGTTACTATGAAAACGCCAACACCGGAAATACTGTTTTCACTCCAAGAGATGACGATAACTTTACATGGACACTGGCCAATCCAAAACCTCTTTAGTAACATATGTAGTATATAAACATTTCCCTGGTGAGACCTGAACAAATCTTCGTATTCTCCACAAAATGTTGTGTTATAGTGAACCAAAAGTCGTGATGGAGGCTTGCTTGTCAACATCCGGGTATTTCTCCAATGGTTGACAATCCTGTGACGTTTTGAGGTGGTGAAATCGTGTCATCCTGACGTTTCCCAGTGGACCAACGGGACATGTTCACGTCTAGCCGTGATACCAGGTTGGACCAAATGGTCGTTAGAAAGAATATCAGCGCAAGCTCACCCTGGTCAAATGTTAACATTAGTTTATTTTATTAAACGTTACATTTTCCAAATCTCTCTCAGCTGACTGTATATGGTCCTACAGCATCTCTAGTAACAGTCTGCTGCACCATAGAATGTCCAAATGGACCAGTCAGACGTGAGTATTCCATTAAGCAATGCAGAGATGTTTGACCAAAACCTGTTTTGCAAAGATCTGTAGTGCATTTGACTGATTGCATTGATCTTTCATTTGTTTTATTTTTCTCTTTCCTTTATCTGGACCAAACTAAGTCTAATACTTATTTTGAGCTGCTTAATAATGTTGAACAATATGTTGTTTTTTGAACAGCCCACCCAGAAGACATATGACTATGTACTGGTGGCCCATCAGGTGGATGATGAAAGGGACCAGAAGGCTCAGAGACAGAGAGCCTTCATCCAGAAGCTAGAAGAGAAAAACATCACAGTTAAAGTGAGTCTGCCTCCGTTACACATTACATATCATTATCTGAGGCTTTTACCCAAAGTGACTTACATACACTCAACACCGTAGACAATTCTTTAAAACACTGTGACCTGACACCTGACTCGATGTACTGATAAGGATTGTATGAATCAAAGAAGACAAAGTGTCCTTTATTGTGTGTGCTGTTTTTGTGTGTTAGAGGATTGAACATGATGACAAAATGTTTTTTGGCATCCGTGCTCCCAATGAGATGTTCAAAGACTACCAGTACCTGCTCAAAGTCTCTGACTCCTGCAACTGGTGTGGAGATGTAAGGGGCTCTGTCACCCAGGCTACCAGGTAATATAAACATATAAATATAGATTTGATTGTATCACTGCTCTGACCGAAGTCCTTGTTTAAGGAGAAACAGCATATTTGTTCCTGTATGCACACTGATCAGAGGGCATCAGATGAATGCTGCTTCATAAAATTCTTCCACATGAAAGTCTGCAGCAACTTTGAGCAATAACACCACTTCAACTGCCTTGCTTTTTTTCTTAAACAGATAGTACTGCTCTGCAGAGGTGTGGAGTCAGACTCGAGTCACCAATTTGATGACTTTGGACTCGACTTGACAAAATCACAAAACACTTGCGACTCGACTTGGACTTGAACACCAATGACTCGGGACTTGACTTGGACTTGAGCCTTCTGACTTGAGGTGACTTGATCATTTAATTCAGAGGTCTCCAACACGCCGATCGCGAGATGCCGCTAGAAGAGAAGACTCCCGTCGGGGAGAGCAGACTCTTCAGCCGCTCCTACTCTTGCTGAGAATCCTTGCAGGCAGGGGCGGGACTTTATTTTGCCGGGCCAATAATATGCGAGGACACAGTAGGATCATACCATTATGTGAAAGAAGGGTGGGGGGCAGACGCTCCAAAGACAGCAGGTGTAGTGGTACAGGCCAGCTACAGAGCGACAGGGAGACGGGGAGCCGGATTTAAATGCAAGCGCGTGGGTCAAGACATTTGCGAAAACCGAAAAAGAAGCAGCATCTGGCTGCATTTCAATGATATTGGAGAAAGCAAAGCTGAGTGCAGGATTTGTAAAATGAAAATAACCTTCAGAGCAGGGTTTTTTTTTGATAACCACTCAGGATTGATTGTCAGAGGTGGGAGAAGTTCAGATCTTGTACTTGAGTAGAAGTACCAGAGTGTAGGAATACTCGGTTACAATAAAAAGTCCTGCATTCAAAATGTTACAAGTAAAAGTACAAAAGTATTATCATCAAAATATACTTAAAGTACCACCTGCAGAGGGATCTAGACTCAGGTGTTCTCTTCCCCATAGAGACCGCCTCGCTGCACATTATCCCTTGCATAAAGATATATTGTGGTCCCTTACAACATGTTGTACACAGTGGAAATAAATGGTTACCTCAACATCAGGGATCTTATACATTAAACTCCTTCTGAATCAAACCGTCACGGTAGCCTTACCTTATTGTTCCCTCTTAAAATAGAAAAAAACACGTTACTTTACCAGCAGAGAGAAAATGGATTATTACATTATTAATGTGACTAATAAAGAGCAGTTTGATTATTAAGTATTATTCTGTTGATGGATGTCATTACATTTGGTGAAAAACACATAAGGACTTGTTTAAGACTCGTTTTGTCAAAGTTTAGGACTTGGACTTGACTTGAACTTGCCCATCCTGACTTGACTCAGACTTGAGCGCAAAGACTAGAGACTTGACTCGGACTTGCAAAACAATGACTTGGTCCCACCTCTGCTGCTCTGTGTACCCTACCATGCAATAATGCAACAAGCCAAATACAACTTGATTTAAAAATAAGGCTGAACACACTTTCTGGAGCTGATGCAGATTCATCACCAGTCACCTCACTGTCTACGTGAATGAAAGTGTTCATTCAAGCCCTGGTGACTTATGTCCTGACCTCAACACAATATATGTAGTATATTATAGTATGTTGGAACTGGGAAATGTGGATTCAACCAAACTGTTTTATGTAAAAATGTTGTGTTCTGTGTGGGAGCCAGGTGGGTCTGTGGGTGGTGCATACTAACACCTGTGCAGTCAGCATTATTCATGCCGTTTAAAACTACTCATTCGGATCCTGCCCGGGGTTTTTTCTCTTACTGCAACATTTATTATTCCTCCAGGATCCGAATTGTCCATTTCATCCTTCTTCAGACCTTCATCAACACAGGAGGTGAGTGTGATTTATTTCAAAGAACTCTATATTATCACCTCTATTTTGACTATTCACAGGCAGCCATGCAAATTGATAATTAACCATGTTTTGATATTTTGAGTTCCCTGATGCTGATTTTTCCTGCTTTTGGTATGGCTATTGATCAGAAAACCTGGAGGAACTGATAAAGAAGGGTGTGTTTGAAACCATGTTCTGCCTCCATGAAGTAAGTCCTCCTTCAATCTTATTATTTTTGCTGGGACAATTGCAAAATCAGGTTTTTAGTCCTTCAGGATTGATCACCTGCTGGTACCATCTGATGGTTATATTGACCGGAATGACACATCTGCACACTTAACTATCACCTGACAATGTGCCAAACTATATTATTAAATATATATATAAAAACACGTATTTCCCCATCTTAATCCAGATATTGAAGGTGCTGATTGAAAACTAAGGTTAATACATATTTGATCTTATAAGAAAAGGTTTTACTGGCAGAATGTGTTTCCTGAGAGGAAGTGAGGAGATGTTTCCCTCTGTCAAAGTGTATGAACTAAAGAAACAATCACTGAAGTGGCAGTCAGCTGAAAATGCAAAGCTCCTACCTAAAAGTGTTTTGTATTATAAGGAAGACGGAAGAGAAAGAAAGATTTGTCAGCAAACTGAAATGTATTGGACATCATCATGTGATACACTTGCACACATAACTGCTGGTGTATTATGTTTGAGCCTGGTATAAACCGCTGAAAAACCGGATAACTTAACTAACGGATATTAGAAGCTGTTTTTACAACAATGTGGAGGGAAAGTCCTCTCCTGTCAGACTGAGAGACTCAGGTGAGCTAAAGCACTCTGAGTGTTTAGATTGTTCACTTTAGTCTAAGTTATCTCAGTGGGACTCAAATTATTTGATCACCATTTATGTAAACCAGTATGTCCAAGGCACACCTTTATATGATCACTATAGGTATAAAAAAAAAAAAAGAGAATAAATGAAAAACTGGTATCAAATACTATATGACAGTAAAACAAGAATGCAGTTTAAAAGGAGAGTGATTATTAAAATAACCATAAAGAAAAAGTAAATCTGTGTACAGTTCTGTTTCATATGGGTGCTGAGAGATGTATCCATAGATCTCCTAATGTTGCTCTCAAAGTGCACCAGATTGATGCATTTAACTTCAATATAAAAAATCTTCCCGTGGGAGCATGCCCCCGGACCCCCCTAGAGGAGGTTAGGTCCACCACCCACTTATAAAATAGCACTTTACCCCTGCTTACACCTAGCCTACATGCCTTGAGCTAATCATCGAGCCTTCATTGTAAGAGTCGCGGGTACACTGTGTATATGCGTGTGGGGAGTGTTGCATTAGAAAATTCAACTGTAGTGCCCAGTACATTAATGGGAAACCCTACATGTTTGAGCACCCTCAATGAAACGTCAAGCTACCCCACAGCACCCCAAAAAGAAAATCTCTGGCACCGCCCATGTGTAATATTAATGTTACAAAGTGTAAATGCATATTGAGTAGGATAAACACCCGATGTATGTGCTGATATTTGACCATGGTTCACAGAGAAAGAAGCAGAAGCAGCTGAAGAAGAAGTGGGCTCGATGGTCGGGTCTGTTTACAGGACAACCAGTCAACGATGTCAAGTCAGTGTCTGTCTGTCTGTCCGTGTGTGTATGTATGTGTGTATGTGTGTGTGTGTGTGTGTGTGTGTGTGACACTAATTGTTGGAGCTTTGTAGGTGGAATTATTTCCCATTCTTGCTTGATGTACACCTTCAGTTGCTCAATAGTCCAGGGTCTCCTTTGTTGTATTTTGTGCTTCATAATGCACCCCACATGTTCAATGGAGAACAGTCTAGTACCCCCACTCTTTCACTACGGAGTCAAGCTGTTGTAACGTGTGAATGTGGCTTGGCATTTTCCTGCTGAAATAAGCAGGGACGTTCCTGAAAAAGATGTCGCTTGGAGGGCAGCATACGTTGCTCCAAAACCTGTCTGTACCTTTCAGCATTAATGGGCACGAACACCCCCCCACACTATCACAGATGCGGGCTTTGATCTGTGCGCTGATAACAATCTGGATGGTCCTGTTCCTCTTTAGCCGACACGACGTCCATGATTTCTAAAAACTATTAGGAATGTGGACTCATCAGACCACAGAACACTTTTCCACTCTGCAACAGTCCATCTCAGATGAGCTCGGCCCAGAGGAGCCGGCAGAGTTTCTGGGTAGAGATGGCAAATCATACGAGTCCTTTGAGTCATGAGTCAGCATCACCAAGAGCGTAGAAATCCTACCGGTGAAATAGGAGCCCATAGTCTCCAACTTCAAATACATTTTAGAGCTACTAGTGAGGGCGGCAGTCCACTGTTTGTGTATTTGTATTGCCACTTGAGATTTGCATTTCACGAGCATATTAAACTAACGTTACATTAACCTCCGCTACACAAACATGTTCTAACAACGTTTGTGTCTTAATGCTTGTTTATTGCAGTATTTGGTCGTCAAATGATCTGTGCATAGTATGCATCTACGTTATCACTAACCGAGCAGACACTCACTGAGGCCCCGGCCACACAAGGACGATAACGGTAAAACGCATACGCAAACGCAATCGCAAAAAAGGCTTCCGTCCACACGCAATAGACACCGGAAAATTTCTGTCCACACGAGACAGCTCCGTTTAGCTCCAACCGATGGAGAAGCTGCAGTACATATGCCGAGCCTGTACGTGGCGCTGTAACTTCCTCCACGAAAGCAGCGAAGAAGCATGGTTGTCATGGTTGCCCTTCTCCGCGGTGGGGGCGAGGGAACCGGGCAGAGTTTTTCGCCAGTCAACGTGTATGTATTCAGTATGGTGTTCCTGAGCAGCCCACGTGGTAATATCCTTTACAGCAGGGGTATTCAACTCAAATTCAGCGAGGTCCAGTTAGAGAAAATGTCCCCATGCAAAGGTCCGGAACATTAAAATGTCTAACTTGCTTTATGAATTAGTGTGATATATATTGAAGTAGCTGTAGCTTTATCAACGTCTGCATGTAATCAACAACTGACTGCCAATCAAATAAAGAAAGTACAATTCAAAAACAACAATATTTATTGTCAATTAGCATTGAACTATACATATATACAGTAAATACCGTGGATATGTGTAATGTTCCTCTCGGGCTGCATTTACAAATAAAATAGAGAAAATAAATAAAATAGCTTTTGAAAATATGTGCATCTTAAAAGTGCTTAATTTTAGATGAATAAAATAAAGTGTAGCAGCAGCTTGAGTGTCCCTTTTTTCTTTGTTAACCGTTTCACATCATGACTTAACAGTTTCAGCCAATTATAGAACAATATCAGTCTTTACACATCATAACAATTGAACAGTTTCAAAGTTTCTCTTTATTTCCCTCTTATATTGCAGTCCCTCACTCACTTTTTTTTTATTCAGTGTGAGAATTGAGCTCGAGCTTGTCCTGCCAGGAGTTTAAATCTGGGCTGAAATGGAGTCGGGGCCATTCTCATACACATGCAGGTGCTCATTGGTTAGCCTCGGTTAGCCTGCTCTGGAACGATATTTAGTTTTAATTTTGATCCTGGTGGACTGATCATATTGGGCTCTGAGACTGCTTATTTGTTGTGACCTCAGTTCTGACTTGAGAGGGAATGTTTGGTCAAACACTTTGTGCTTTGTCTCATAGTGGCGTTTTGGCACTTTTAATGAGCGCCACGGCCTCTGAACATATGAGACACACTGGCTCTGTGCTCCCAGTGGGCAGGATGAACATGAATGAGTCCACTCAGGGTTAAAAGCTCTGTTCTCACTGTCCACTTTCCTCTTCTTGGAGAGCGCCATGTGTAATTATTTGTCTCTCCCTGTCTGCCGCTAACACGCCTGTTCTCTCTCCTCTCCGCTTCTCTCCCTGTATCGCTAATTATTCTCTTCACTCACTTTCCTCTCCTCTTCTCTCTGCCGCGCTCTCGTCTGTTCTTCTGTGTTTCTCTCCCTGTATCGCTCTCATCTCTTTCGCCCCCTGTCGGCGGCGGTTCAAATAGAATCGCCCCGTCAATTTGAAATCCCCTATTAATGTATTGATTATAGGTCCGGGTCCGTATACTGTAGGTCTGAGTCCGGATCCGGACCACGGTCCGCCTGTTGCCGACCCCTGCTTTACAGGATGAGGTCGGTTTAAAATGCAGTGCTGGCTGAGGGGTCGATGGTCACGGAAATACAGTGTTGGTTTTCAACCCCCCCTTACGTGCAGAGATTTCTCCGGATTCTCTGAATCTTTTGATGAGGTTATGGACTGTAGATGATGAAATCCCTAAATTCCTTGCAATTGTACGTTGAGAAACATTGTTATTAAACTGTTGGACCTTTTGCTCACGCAGTTGTTCACAAAGTGGTCAACCTCGCCCTACCTTGCTTGTGAACGACTGATTTCAGGGATGATCCTTTTATACCCAATCATGACACTCACCTGTTTCCAATCAACCTGTTCACCTGCAGAGGTGGCAAAAGTACACACTCTCTTTATTCAAGTAGAAGTATAGATACTTGTGTAAAAAAATACTTTGGTAGAAGTACTGATTCAACTTTTTACTTAAGTAAAAGTACAAAAGTACACACTCTTTACTTAAGTAGAAGTACAGATACTTGTGTAAAAAAATACTTTGCTAAAAGTAGAAGTGCTGATTCAACATTTTATTTAGGTAAAAGTACAGTCTCTGAAATGTACTCACAGTAAAAAGTAACTTTTAAGCTGGCTGTTTTTGTGCAAAACGAACTGAACCTTACATCATATTAATATACTTGTATTACTGCCATTCTGAATGTATTCAGTGTGAACAACAAAAACAAAGTACCTGTATTTGCTGTAGCCAACATTGTAGATGGGTTCCTTTGCCTTAATATAGGCCTAAACAAATCAAACTAAAATGATTATAGTGCATTTTTTGCACCCACAACTTCAAACCTCTTCCTTAAGTAAGGCCATGGATGCGGGATGTCTTGCTGGTGGTCTGATGAATCGCCTCTGTCGATGTTATCTTCATTTTCAGTCCTGTCGCTGACTGTACTAGCGTTACTCTTGGACATTACGCCGTTAGACCTTTCTCCCGTCTCTGCCAAGCTGCTTCGTCATACGTCTTTTACGTTGTTTTCGTCTGTCGGGCATGATCTGCACACCATGGCTCGTCTTCTCTACTTGTCACATCCATTTAGTTTGAAATCAGTCTTGATGTCGGGGAAGGCCCGCAATGATGCAAAAATAATTCGTAATTCACCTCACATGCATTAAAAGGAAAGTAACGAGCCTGTTTTGTAAATGTAAGAAGTAGAAAGTACAGATATTTGTGTTTTTAAAATGTAGGAAGTAAAAAGTGGTCAGAAAAATAAATACTTAAGTAAAGTACAGATACCTGAAAAATCGACTTAATTACAGTAACAAAGTATTTCTACTTCATTACTTCCCACCTCTGTTCACCTGTGGAAGGTTCCAAACAGGAGTTTTTTTCAGCATTCCTCAACTTTCCCAGTCTTTTGTTTCCCCTGTCCCAGCTTTTTTGTACGTGTTGCAGGCATCACATTTTGTGGTGTTTTATGTAGATAATGTTATTGATTCGTAAAATGTGTGAAAATGGAGAAAGGGCACTTCTCTAAAAGCGTCATTGAAAATGATTGAGATTTGAATTTGATAACCTTGGAGATATGGGGACTCGATCAGATATTCCCAGTATACCCTCACTACTTGTTAAACCTGACAAGAGACCTGTTAACAAACATTAATCAAAATGGATTTTGTTTATGAAAATATCTGATTAAACACTGTAAACCAATAAAACATGAGAAAGTCCCAGGTGACCAAACTATTTTTATAGTCGCCAATGTTTTTTTACTTCATGTCTGCCTGTGTGTTTTCTCCCTGCAGGAATTACTTCGGAGAGAAAGTGGCTTTGTACTACCTGTGGCTGGGCTTTTATACGAAACTGCTGGTCCCGGCTGCTGCTCTGGGCGTGGTCGTTTTCCTTTATGGACTTGCCTTTTTCAACTCCAACCCTCTAATGTGAGTCAGAAGCTGAGAAGGTAATATTATATGGTAAATGAACTTAAACGTGGGAAACACTGGTCTTTTTTGGTCATACACTTTAAGGATTTCTTTTGATTTGGAATATTCTGGACATCTGTAGTTGTTGTAAATCACTCCATGTAATTATTTCTGATCTGTGTGTGGGAAAGTTTAGACCAATCAATCTATCAATAAACAACCAATCAAATTACATTTTTATACTACTTAACTATTGGCAGAGACACAAACACTCTGGGAATCATGCCCCAGATGTTGAGTTATAGTCTAGCAGGAAGGGCCCTCAGATTTTGAGATACCCCTACCCGAGGTAGAACAAAACACAACAATGATTTTTCTTATCTTTGGGGTCTCCCATTAATGAAATTGATTGTTGTCAAATCAAAAAAGAAAAAGGACTGATGTGCACAAACTTGGATGAACTGAGGTTCATAATTGCATCAACAACAGATGCAGCCTCGGAAAATCTGCCGCCAACAGAGGATGCATTTCAACAACATGTACAAAGAGCAATGTTTCAGACAGCGATATCACAGGCCGAACCCAAACCCTTGTTATGGAGTCCTGTTGGCAAGCGGTGGATTGTCAGAGATGGGGCCATTCAACCAGTGCTATTTACAAAACCCCAGCACCTAGAGAAGTGAGAGACATTACTCACTTGTATTGCAAAGATGCAAAGTGTGGAGAGAGTGGAAAGTGCCAGTGCCTCTCTGTTGGCCTTCCCTGTACGGAGTTCTGCACCTGCTGTGCAGAATGTCAAAATGTGTCCCCTAACGCTTCTGAGGAACCTGACATTTAACATTATATTCTAGTATCTATATACTTGACCTCTCACAGAATGATTTGATGAATTGTATACTGTACTTTGAATTAAGGTTCCAGTTTCAATAACACCTGTACTATTTACACCTATGTTTTAGAGGCTTGCAATTTAGAACTAATACACTTTATTTTATTGGGTTACTCTTATTCTGACTATTTGGTGATGTAGGTCAGCCAACTGGTAGTTCCCTCTCCAAATATGATGACCATCAGAGTGAGCATTCTTAACTTATAGGCTATTATGCCATCATGTTTTGGGACATGAATGTATAGAGAGAACGTGAGTGCATTCAAAAGAGGAAGAGAAAGGGAGGAAAAGTGAACGTCGAATGTCCCCCAACAGTGGAAGTCTTTAGCAGCATAACTAGGGTCTGGTTCAAGGCAAGCCTGAGCCGGCCCTAACTATACGCTTTATCAAAAAGGAAAGTCTTTAGCCTACTCCTAAATGTGGAGAGGGTGTCGGCCGCCCGAACACAAACTGGAATAACCATTCCTAGAATGCAGGGATATAATGGGTATAATGATAAGGACAAATTCTGATCAAAGATAAAGCCAAGACTCCTTACGGTGGTGCTGGAGGCCAAGTTAATGCCATCCAGAGTGAGTGTAGTGACTTTTTAACCTAGTCTATACTTAAGCCACTGAGGGATTGGAGCGGGAGAACTTTGTGAATACCAAGTGAATGCTCCATCTTGTGTTCAATGGCATAACTGCATGTTACATTAAACTTGTGCAGTTAAAATAAAAACAAAGACACATACATTGTGGCTCCAACAGTGAGTATATCTTTAGATAGTTTGTTTCAGAGTTCACAATAACTTCAGTTGTCTGTTTTTAACATCAAATACATGCAGGTTATCTAAGTTTTTAAGTTCTTGAGGTATTCTTGAATTGTATTTAGTTGATTGGTTTCATCAGGCTTGATTGATAAATATAATTGAGTATTATCCGCATACAAACTACTAAATGTAACAGAGTGATTCCTTATAATATTGCCTAACAGAAGAATAGTACAGAGCCCTGTGGCACTCCATGACCAACTTTAGTTTGCATGGAAGATTCATCGTTGACACGTACTAACTGAGATAGTACAGATAAAAAGGACTTAACCCAGCTTAGTGTGGTAACAAAATGTATGTGGTCAGACTAACAAGTTCAATTTCAATGCCCTACCCCAGTTCAAGTTGTATTGTGTTAACTTTAGGTTGGTTTGGGTAGGTCTCATGAATTTCATCACCCATTTCAAATACAAATATTGATGAACGCCACAGGTTCTCCTAAATTACCTTTATTGGCCACTTTGGAACTAATATGATTTTGAGACTGGTTGTTGCATGAGGTCGAAATGTCTCTAAGTCTCTGTGATGAGTGACAATAACACTTTCTGTTACCTAAGCTTGTTCTGAAAAAAGAATCTTCTGAATGACATTTTATTCTGAAAACCCTTTAGACTTTGACTCTCTGTGTGTCCTTAGTATGGAAGTGTGCCAGTCCAGCATCATTATGTGTCCTCGCTGTGATAAGAGGTGTGTCGTGTGGCAGCTGTCAGACACCTGCGCCTACGCTAAGGTAAGCTCTTCTTATGTCATGTCATTCTGTTGATTTGATCACTCACATTGAAAAGAGCAATGGTAAGGACCACACAACTTGATCCGTTGTTTACATTGCAAGTTGTGCTCCTTTTATGCTACACAATACAAATCTTAAATTATTTTATGGTGGGGTGTGGAGGATGACAGTGGAGGAGCTGTGTTTTATGCCAGATGGTATTATGCTGAACAGTAGGCAGGTGTTTGGTGTCTTCTTTGTTGGCTCTGTGCAGACACTTCACCACACTAATCTAATCTTGTAAACAGAATAATCATGGGAGATATTAACCCATGCTGGATTTGCATGAATAAAATATGTAGTTTTTTCTACTGAAATGTGTATGTGTGAAGATGACATTGGATGTTTCCAAAAACATCATTAAAAGGGCAGCCCTTATCATGAAGTGTTTATATCCACACAGGTCAGCCACCTGTTTGACAATGAAGGAACTGTGGCTTTTGCTATGTGCATGGCAATCTGGGGTGAGTTTCTAATTAGATTTCATTCAATGTATTATGATATCCAACTCAATGTTTTTTACTATAAGTCTTATCTAACATGTTCTACTCTTATATATAATCTAACGTGTTCCCTCTTTAACTGGTTGACTCTTTTCAGCCACTCTGTTCCTAGAGCTGTGGAAGAGACATCGAGCCAGACATGTTTCTCAGTGGAAGGTCTACGACTGGTGTGAGGAGGAGGTACATAAGTCACATTTAAATCTAGATCCTGTGTGTGGTTGTCTGTAGTGTTCCGTTTAATTTAATAATACATTTTAGATGGGTTGTTTTAACGATAGTTTATTAAATCTAAACCAATTGGCATAGGCAATTGTTTTAGACTAAATGAGCATCCATAATTAGTGAATCAGTTTAATGAGAAGAGAACTAGGGTTGTGTCATCTGCAGACATTATTGGAGAAAGAATGTTTGAGACATTTGACTAATCATAAACGTAGAAAAGGAATAATAATGGTTCCTAAAAGGACCCCTGTGGGACCCCTAGAGTAGTCTGGCTTTGCTGGAATTAAAACCCTTACCACAAACAAATTGTCTTCTGTGGGAAACACAATATTTCAACCATTTGTACGTAGTATATGGAAACCATATTCATGCAACTCTTCGGTGTGTGTACATTGAATTGGAATCTACATGAAAAACAATCCTATGTAAATGTTTATATTGTGGAAAAACATGGCCAACTACATATGGGTCTAAAGTTATTAAAGCAACATGGATCATCACTTTTAAACAATGGAACGCCTGTTTTACAAAGACCAGATGTGAGCAAGTGGCTGCATAACTGAATGCTTCACCTGTGCAGAAATATTGTCATGACCAGCTGAAGATCATTTTAGTTAATCTATTATTTCACTTATTTCTTGGACATGAGGGGGTTTAAGAGAATAAATGGTCGGAACATTTCTTGGAATAAACTAGTGGATTGCATTGACAAGCTGCTATTTTGGGAGATAACTCTTGACCAATATTTACAAAGAAGTCATAAACAGAAACCCAAAAACTTTAAGTAGAAAGAATAGTTATTAAGTCTACACAGTATTCTGCTAATTTGCAGTAAAGAGTATAGACAATATTAGATTAGATTAGATAAGATTAGATTAAATGTATCCCGAATAAAATGTCAAAAAGAAGCACATTCGAAGCACACACGGAGAGTTGCTGCAACAGGCTTTGTAGAGTAAAGTGTATCCAAAATATGAAGTATAATATGCAGTCAAAAAGTAAAAACAGAGTACCTTTACCCTCATCCAAACAATGTGTTTAACATACAAGGACGGACAACCGACTCCAAATATTTAGTGTGGGAAAGAAACAGCAGAGCCAATTGTTCACTTATCAAAGTATTATTGGATATTTAATTACTGTTGTCTGGAACAAATCTGATTATTGTTATTTTAGATACGTTTCAGTTGACTCCATTTTGTGTAAATTATTATTTGTGGGTTTTGTGTGTGTTTTGACAGGAAGAACTCATTCTTGAAATAGTCAATGACCCAAACTGTAAACCCAAACAGTTCAGACACTCCTACCTGCGCAGCACCTTGGTCCTCTTCTTGGTTACTGTCATGGTGAGAGAAACACATACACACACAAAAAAACACTTTCTATTTTTCAACAGTGAAATACTGGCGGAACACTGCATCAACAAATTGACAAATTAAGACTGTATAAGACATGATTTTACCATCTTTATGCAACTCTCCTGCTATCTACAAATCATGTGTATGTATGATATGTACCCTAAAAGTCTAGAGTAGGACTCAATAGTGTCTATTAAGTTTGGTACAGACGTCACCACATCTTAAATGTCATCTGCGTAGCCTGTGTTCCTTCCTGATCCTAACAGCTAATGTTTCTGAAAGAAAATGATGAACATTAAGGGGTTCAAAGGACACCCTTGACAAGTCCAACTAGACAAGCTGAAAAAGTGAGAACTAACCCTGTTGGTTATCACTATAGACTTTGTTTCTTTATATATTATATTAAATGATATGGGTCTGCTTTGTCTCGATCTCTGTGAGAAGTTAGAGATATTAAAGCATCACTAAATGTTGGTGGCATGTGGCCTTTTTTCAAAAGCCTCTTGATAAACCTGCAAAACCAGAGCCAAGATTTCCACATATTCCTCATAATATTCCACTGGAAACCCATCTTACCCTCGTGATTTACCAGTTTTCGTTTTTTAAATTTGCTCTTCTTATTTCACCCTCAATTATTGGTGACTCCAACTCTGCCTGCGGAATGTAGCTTGGGCAAATGATATTAGAAGAGTAGCTGTTGTTCCTCATCATTATCACTGTCGGGTACTGTTGCTGTATATACCGTATCGTAATATTGATGAAGTACCTTGTTTATGAAAAATCATCACCTATCCCCCAAACTATTAACCCCCACCAGCCTGAACCGTTGATACAAGGCAGGATGGATCCATGCTCTCGTGTTTTTTACGCCAAATTCTGACCCCACCGTCCGAATGTCGCAGCAGAAATGGAGACTCATCAGACCAGGCAAAATGTTTCTAACCTTCTTTTGTTCAGTTTTGGTGAGCTTGTGAGAATTGTAGCCTCAGTTTCCTGTTCTTATCTGACAGGAGGGGCACCCGGTGGGGTCTCTGCTGCTGTGGCCCGTCTGCACAAGGTGTTGTGGTTCAGAGGTGGTCTTCTGCATACCTTGGCTGTAACCAGTGGTTATTTGAGTAACTGTTGCCTCTTATCACCTTGAACCAGTCAGCCTTCTCCCAGAGAACTGCCGCTCACAGACCATTCTCTGGAAACCCTAAAGATGGTTGTGTGTAAAAATCCCAGTAGATCAGCAGTTTCTGAAATACTCAGACCAGCCGCCTGGCACCAACGGCCATGCCACGTTCAAAGTCACTTAAATCCCATTTCTTCCCAATCTGATGCTCTGCCCAAACTCCAGAGGGGTCTCTTTTGATTTGCTTCTTAAACTAATCCCTTCGTTGTAAGTACCTGTAGAAGTCATGTTTGTCTAGATCATATTTATCTTTCAAATGCTGGAAACTCTCAGGCTCCCCATCCTTCTCTAGGTGCACCATGCTGTAATACCCATTGTTTGAATCCCTTATCGTTCCCAGCTGGTTTTAAATTACTATTGAATGCTACCCATTTTAGTAAACGTGCACTTTTCTCTAACTTCTTCTTGTTGATTATTTCGAACCATACTTTTTAGAGTGAACAGTGTAATTGTATATAGTTAGTTTAGAATTTTCTTGCATGTTTCTTTATCGCCAATGATGTTTTGGATTGGTTTATCTACAAACTCTTTTTCAATTTCATTCTACTTTACTGTGTAATCTGGTTTGCACAACACACAACATATCTTAACTGGGCAGCAATGAAGTATTCCTTTAGTTTTGGAAGGCCCATGCCTCCTTTATTTTCCGGTAGCTGGAGAATTTCGTATCTGACTCAAGGTTTTTTGCCCTCCCAGATAATCCTTGATTTAAACCTATCCCATGTCACACATTTAGTTTGGGGAACCTCTACTGGCAGGGACCGGAAAAGATAAAGACATATAGGCCGAAGATTCATTTTGTCTCAATACTTGAGGTAAAATCTAGTGGTAGATTAGAACACCTTTTTGTATTTCTTGATTTATCTTGTTATAGTTTGCTCTATATATTTTAGATTTTCTCTTAGTGATGATCAGGGCCGTTTCTAGCTTTTTGGGGGCCCTATGCAAGATGCTGTTTGGGGGCCCTAGTTTTGACAGTTTTTTTTTAACTACAATGGGGGGTCACAGCCCCACCTAGTGTCAGCAGAAAGTATTACAAATAATGATTACAATAAAATGCAAAAAATAAATAACAAAATATATAAAATATATTTTAAGATCATGGTTGATCATCTGATTCGTCTGTACATTGCTGTTTTAGTCTGTGTTCTTCTAATTCGTGTCTACAGTGTGTGCCTATTGAGCTGTTTAGAGCCATGTGGGACAAAACCCGATCATGCCCCTCCCTCTCACTGTCTAAGTGAACGGTGACTATAAAAACTACACTGCGCATGCTCAGAGTATTGTCCTATTTAATGTGTGTGGCAAAAAAATAATGACCATAGGGGCATAGAGCTGCCATCCCCACCATACGTCATCTCACATAATTCAGAGCTGATTGGCTGTAAGTACGTGTGCCGCAAAAAGTGTGGTGTGTGAAGAGGAGGAGAGAGACGCGTCCTAAAACCTGGAAGTAAGCTGCACATGGCTTCCCTCCACAAAAAAGCAATGATATTTCTCCATGGGATTTTAGAAAATAGCTCAAAATAAGATCTGTGGGAAACGTAGCTGTTAGATAAATGCACGTTTTGTTCAGCCGGATAATATCCACATGTCTACCCTACTTTTTATAATTTTCTAATCATAAATCTATCGATTAGATTTATGATAGACTTTTGAAACTACAAGAAGATAAGGAGGACTTTTACAAAAAAGTAATAGAGATTTTTGTCCAGAAGGATAGGCAAATGGACTTCATCTTCAAGTCAAGGTAAGACCGTAATTGTATTGAAAATGGGATCTTACTAAGAGAGAACAATTCAATATTTAAATGATAACATTACATTTTTTGGGTATCCTTTTGTTGAACTGTCTGTTTAAAATTAATCGAAGCATCAGACAAAAAAAGTTTTGAAAATAATATTATATTTTGATTTAGGTCAAAATATAATATTTGTAAACCTGAAGAGTCAGTGCCAGTGCCTCACCAGCCATGAACCTCACTGCAGAAGCTTATATATAGACATCTACGTTGTTTGTGCCCCACCACTTTTGTACATATAAAAACGCCACTGCGAACACAGGAGGGCTTGGCTGTCTACAAATAAAGATGGCTCATTTTAATTCTCCCCAAATATATTGAGGCTGAACCTGAACTTTGAATTCTCTGCTCCCATCATAATCTTGGCAATCTTGTTCAAATTGTGAATGCAGAATTAGAAATACTATGTAACTGCTTTGCAGTTAATAAATTATCCCTTAATGTGGCCAAAACAAATTACATGTTATTCAATACAAAGTCTGAGAGTAGAAATGACTGCATTATACGGATTTGCAATACAGAGATAGAAAAAGTTGGTGCATGTACATTTTTAGGACTGCTTGTTGACGAAAAACTCAATTGGAAGCACCATATAAATTATGTACAGACTAAACTGTCAAAAACAATAGGTATGTTGTATCATACTAAGAACATTCTTGAAGAAAATATACTCTTTATAACAGTCTATTTCTCCCTTACCTTTAATACTGCTCCGAAATATAGGGAAACACGTACTCAACAAATCTACAACAAATAATAACATCCCACAAAAAAGTATTACGAATAGACTGTGGTGTTGGTAAATATGAGCACACAACTCCCATATTTAAAAAAAAACTCAATCTATTAAAATATGTTCAGATAGTACAGCTTAAAACAGTACTGATTATGCACAACATTTTCCATAAGAAAATGCCTAATAATATTTAAAAGCAGTTCCAAACCACAGCGTGAACATATGAATGTAAAAAAAGTCACTTGAAAATAAGTGTTCACAATGTTTATATGCAATTATGCATATATTATTATTATTATTATTATTATTCATTTGCCAAGTGGATGTGTACCTATGTATTTATATATTTTTTTTAATTTCCAAAAAAAGATAGTTGAAACTGCTATTGACATGTGCAGAAAATGACCCTATATCTAGTTTTTATATATATATATATATGCATTTATTGTTTTCCTGCACTAACTTTTATTTAATTTGTTCTCCTGTTTTCTTTATTTCTTTGTACTCCTTCATTTCTATACGTTTTTGACGCAATAATGCCGCTGTATTAGGATGATGCACGGGAGGGCTACTTTCCACAAGCTTTGCTTCAGGCCTCCCGCTTCTACTAATTTTGTTCATCTTTGTGTGTATGAATTAAACTTTTTTTTTTGTTTTTCGGATGAATAAAAAAAAAAAAATACTTTCAGCTTGGGGGCCCCCTAGTGGCCGCGGGGGCCCTATGCCCCAGCATAGTCCGCCTATAGGAAGAAACGGCCCTGGTGGTGATGATAACCCCAAGATATTTGTATTTGCTTTAAATTCCAATTAAGATTAAATGATTCCCTAATCGTTGTTGATGGTGTGTAATTTAGAGCTAGTATCTGTGTTTTGGAAATATTCATTTTGTATCCGAAAGGTGCCCATACAATCTGCAAATAAAGTGGGTGATCTCTGAAAGCTACTTTTATCAGTCAGGTTACCATTGATTTTATTCTAGCATTTGGCTATTGATTCTTATACATTGTGTTGATTTGGTATACTTCCAAATCGTTCCAAAATGTGATACAAAAATTCCTAATTTAGCCGATCAAATGCTTTTCTGCGTCAATGCTTACTAAATGTACTATGTTTAGTCTTATGTGTTTTGTCCACTATGTGTAGAGTTCTTTTTGATATTATCCTGTGTTTGACGTTGGTTTACGAATCCTGTATAATCTTCGATTAATTCTGTCAAAAAAGTGTTTTTTTTTGTGTATATTTTATAGTCCACATTCAATATAGAGATGGGTCTATAGTTCCCACAGTGTTCTTTATGCCTTCCTGGTTTTGGTGTGACTGAAATAACTGCTTCGGGAGGGACTCTTCGGAATAGAGAGAGCCCCTTACCGCCATTTTTTTTTGCCGCACCCACGTGACTCCAATAAAAAAACAAATGTAAAGGCAGATTGCAAAATCACATTGACAGAACAGAAAATAAAGCAAGATGAGCACTATAGAGGCTGTGATAAACAGTGTGTGTATTTTGTGCTCTAGCTCATGCTGATCATCGGCCTGGCTCATGCCCTGGTGGTGTTTCGAGTGGTGGCTGCACCCTTAATGTCTGAGGGCAGCTGGGAGTTCATCAGGGATCATGCCAACACTGTGGCTGTGATGCTGGGAGCAGTGCTGCACTACCTCACCATGCAGATAATGACCCGGGTACGTATACATCCCCCCTCTCTTCATCGTGCATTCACACACTGAAGAACAGGAATAATTGCTAGCGCTAAGATATACCACATCATTCAACAGATCATTGCTTATTCTGTAAGAAAATGTAAACTACATAATGACACTGTAGCTCCTGTGCATTTTGATGTGCTATGTGCATATTTATCTAAATAGAATAAAACCTTTTCTGACATATTTGTTGAAACATTGAAGCTTCAGGTTATTGACTGACATGAGAAGTCCTACACAGTTGCTTGAACAGAGATTTAGCTTATTACAATTTGTACTCTAAGATGGCATGAAATTGTTTGTATTCTAAAACTTCAGACCTATTTCAAACTGATGACCAGAACAAATACACAATGTTATACCACTTCTAAGCAGAGATTCATTTTAATAACATTTCATTTGGGCTCAACATAATTTTTTATTTGAAAGTTATGTATCCGTCCAAGCTTTTAATGAATATTAAAGCAAGAGTGACAATAAATTCAGACATTTAAAACGAAAAGGAATGCACTTGTTAGGGTAAAGCACTTATTTCTTGCAAACTATTTCTTAGACCCCCGCCAGAGAGTACTATGGATAGTTAATATCTTCATATTTTTTATAATGATTTAGGCCTTGGATATTATTTGAAATTGTGCCACCCTAATGTATAAAGCATCAATAAAATGAGCTTCACCTTTACCTCTACCGATGCAACATTAAAATGATGACAACTTGATTCATTAATCAATAATTATACCTTTAAACACTTACAGCCATGAAATAAAATAACAGTGATCACTGCAAAATGGAGTTTCTGTAGTTTTACTACTTAGTCTTTTGGTTGAGTAAAACGAAACAAAATGATTTTATTTTCCAACCTTCTGAAAATGATTGACGATGCACTGTGTCATTGTCCTGCTGGAGAAATCAAACCTCAGAATTACAGATTTAATATGGTATATTTATATTTCATGTGCTTATGAGCTTAGTTCGTGGTGATTGTGATTTCACGATGTTTCTGTCACTTCAGAGGAAACAGCTGAGATAAAGGAACACCATTCAGCTGTTGTAGGTCTGCCTGCCAGCAACGGAACCATCACATATTTCTGTTTCTCTTTCACCTGTAGGTAAACAGATGGGTGTCCCTTAAGCTCTGTGACATAGGTAAGACCAAATCATAATACTGTATTTGATATGAATCAGAATCGGTTTATTACCTGCAGGTTTACACATACCAGGTATTTGCTTTCGTACATGTGGTGCATACAAAGACACAGAAAGAAGAATATGTTAAAGATACAATAAAAATGGTACTGTTATGACAACTATTAAAAAAAAAAAAAAAAAACTATTTTATGACAATTGTAACAAACTATACAATTCTGAGAAATGTTGACTATGTGACTGAAACTTGGGTGCACGTCCCGATGCTAACATTACCCCCGCTGAGTACGTATTCATAGCATTAGTTGTATTGTTAAGGTACAACAAAGAATAACCAATCATTTTAGCTGACTATTTGAACTGTTTATCTATTACATTTTCGGATTCTTTTACCACATTCCTGCATCGTTTCTGAACATCTTTAGATTACCACTGGATTTAGTTAACGACCGACAGGTGTGTTCAAAGACCAAAGCGTTTCCACGGCAACGCCCTGCCAGTGAACGAGAGACAGTCTGTCAGAGAATGTGTAGACAATATTGTGCTTCTAAGTAAAAAAAACTGTAACTCCAATCAGCTAAATATCCAGATGAACACCTGATGATTCTCGTGTTTGCTATATGTGTAAGTCCGTTTGATGAAATGAGCATATCGGTGCGGCCGTGACAAATTACCCTACATTACGATCACCAAATGATGTATAAAGAGTGAAAATTGTGGCCAGCCGAGCAATAGTTGGAAAAAAACCTCTTCAGATTTTACAGCTCCACTCCCCTCTAGCCGTGATGTCACCCACTCTAAGTCTTAAAGGTCCCATGTCATGGCCGTTTCTACTGATCATATTTCCAGTGATGAGGTCTACTAGAATAGATTTATATTGCTCAATGTTCCAAACTCACATTGGTTTCACATACAGCATCTCTGTATAGTATGTGCATTCACTCTCTGTCCTACACGGCTTGTTGGAGCTCCTCGCCCCCCCCCCCCCCCCCCCCCTCCCTGTGAGCCCACTGTGCTCTTATTGGTCAACTCGCCCACTATGTTCTGATGAGTCCACCACCGTTACAGTGAAATATCAGTGATTGTGTTACAATGGCGTTTGTTAGCAACCAGAAAATGACGCCAGTAATGACAAACGGATGTGAATGCTGCGTGGGGTCTGGGTGCCGTGTTGGCGGGACGTTGTGAGGCTCGCTGCTGCGGGGAGCGGACAGTGTGAGCTGGCTTACTGGTGTGGTTTCCTGGTTGCTGCGTGGAGTCGGCAAGACAGCGATTTGAAAAACGGCTAGGCACATCCCTTTTTTAAAAGACATAGCAACACGATCCCGGTCATTCCGCACCTTTTTGATATGTTTTTTGTGTGTTTCTGAAGAAGAATAAGATGAGATAAGATTTTCGAATACTAGACTGTGTGTGGCTTCGCCAGTCACACAGAATTAACAATATTTACATATTGTTTGTGTGTGTGTGTGTGTGTGTGTGTAGAGAAGACCAACTCGTTTGCTGCCACAGAGAGGAACTTCACAGTGAAGATGTTCACCTTCCAGTTCTTCACTCTCTTCTCATCGCTCTTCTACGTGGCCTTCTTCCTGGGCAGGTACTCAGTAACTGACTAAGTTCTTTTGTTGTTTGTATGTTTTTCAAGCTCATGATGTACTTCCTGCATCCTTCTGTTGGACACGGTCCCCTTGGGTGTGCATGTACATTTCATCAGCAAAAGGTGTACCTATCCCTATGTTTTCATATCTTACTACTGCTAATTTGTTCGCATGTTTGCACCACTAACCTACCTAGCTTAGCTATTTGCTGCGCATATTGGGCATCCTTACAGCGGACAGAATAAACAGAACTAACACATCCAAGACAGACTTGGCTACAGTTATATGTAGCATCCAAGTGCTGCATGGCCACTTTCAATGAATTGATATTGTATTTAGCCACTAGTGGCTGATTGCATTCCTTTGGAGCTGGTGGCTTAGAAATACACATTTGATCCCTTGCAGATTTTGTAAGTTTGCCCACTTAAAAATAGATAAACAGTCTATCATTGGAATAGTAGGTTTATTTTAACAGTGAGAGTAAGAATATAAAAAAAAAAAGAATCCAGAAATGGACATTATATAAAATATAAATGTTGATTTGCATTTAACTGTGGGAAATAAGTATGTGATCCCCTTGCAGAACATGTGTTAGTACTTGGTGGAGAAACCCTTGTTGGACACACAGAGGTCAGACGCTTCTTGTAGTTGGTCTCCAGGTCTGTGCACATCTCAGGAATGATTTTGGTCCACTCCTCTCTGAAGTTCCTCTCCAAATCCTTAAGGTGTTGAGGCTGATGCTTGGCCTCTGGAAGCTTCAACTCCCTCCACAGATTTTCTATGGGATTAAGTTCTGGAGACTGGGTAGGCCCCTCCCTCACCTCAATGTGCTTCTTCTTTAGCAGCTCCTGTGTTGCCTTGGCCGTATGTTCAGGTGTATTGTCCTGCTGGAAGACCCCTCCATGACCCATGTTCAGTGTCCTGGCTGAGGGAAGGAGACGATCGGCCAAGATCTTACGCTACATGGCCCCGTACATCCTCTCCTTGATGCAGGGAAGTGCTCTTGTCCCCTTAGCAGAGAAACACCCCAAAGCATAATGTTTCCACCTCCATGCTTGACCGGGGGGGGGTGGTGTTCTGGGGTTATAGTCAGCATCTCTCTTCCTCCAAACACGGCGTGTCCAGTTGATGCCAGAGATCAACAGCTCATCTGACCTCATCATCTTCTCCCAAGCCTTCTCTGAATCATTCAGAGGTTCATTGTCAAACTTCAGACGGGCTTCTCATGTTCTTCTTGAGCGGGGGGCCTGCAGGCGCTGCAGGATTTTATCCATTATGGTGTAGTGTGTTACCAATAGTTTTCTTGGTGACTGTGCTCCCAGCTGCCTTGAGATCATTAACCTGTTAAGCCTGAGAGACCCCGGTACCGGGGCCCTCCTGCAACATATTGCAGGAAACAGTGTCTGAGGGCATGTTCATTTAATAAACTATGAATGTTTTATATCCATGTAACGGGAAGAAACTCATCTAACTGATCTTTTTTGTTTGTTTTAAACCTCACAATGCTAACGCTGTGCCTCTGAACTAGCAACGAGCGAAAAATGCTAACAGATGACTGCACCGAAATTCACTCACAAAACCTTATTATTTATCTTTGCTGCACATCCAACCCATCGTTTCACATCGTGAGATGACACAGAATCGAGGGGTACCCTCATTATCACTCAATTATACGAACTCTCTGAGATAATAACAAGAACAGACATCAAAACATATGGCGCCAGGTAGCTAAAAACGCTAACATGGCTCACCTGTGTCGTAGTCTGGTCAAAAGTGGTCTTCAATGGCATTAAAACCATAAAAACGCTGGTGAAGTTAATCCATAAATTAATCCAATGTGTCTGTGTCCCCTTGAAATGATTTCTGATAATCCATGAGCAATAAACCTGCTTTTCGGTTTTCAGATGTATCTGTGTGCATTCAAGCCCCCACCTTTTTGTTTTACCATGTGTGTGAGTGGGGAGATTCCCCTTCGATTCTATTGGCTCTAATGGTCAGAAAGAGATGTCAATCACCAAAATCGACCAATGGGTTCCAGAGACATTATAATTTACAGTTTTTTTACTATGTTCAATCTGAATTTTCTTTAAAATAAAAAACATCTATATTGATTCTGACTCTTCTACATCCAACTCACAGGTTTATCATTACTTTGAGAAAAAAGATTATTAATGTTCCCCTTTTAGAAGGGAAGATATGGTCATTTGTTCTGGGAATGTCATTTTCGAGCCTGAGACCTGAAAAACAGGCTCAGGGCTAAACTGGTTAACAAGTTCCTCCCGTGTAGTTCTTTGCTGACCCCTCACCTTTCTCATGATCATCAATACGCCACGGGGCGAGATCTTGTGTGGAGCCCCAGACCGAGGGCGATTGATGCTCATTTAGTCTTTCTTCTATTTCTGAATAATCATACCAACAGTTGTCTCCTTCTCACCAAGCTGCTTTCTGATGGTGTTGTAGCCAATCCCAGCCTTGTGCAGGTCTACAATCTGGTCCCTGAGGTCCTTACCCCTAGATTCCACCGGCTCCGTCTGCGTCGCGTTACCGCGGCGTCCGCAAGGATCGCGGCCACTCTAGTCAATGGGTGCTATTCCACCAGACGCGCCGCGTTACGGCTCAGAAGCGTCCCAGAAGCGTCTCGGTGCTGGGCTCCGCTCAAAATATGATTGAAGTCTATTTTTCGACGCGAGGCGTTGCAGAGGCACCGGGCAGGAAGTGGACCGGTCAGAGCAATCCGGCCCATCCCCAAAATAAACTAATTGTGCAGACCCTATCCGTCCGCAGTCTTTCAAGTAGGAGGATAAATGCCAGCGTTCTCCTCCGGTTTACAGGCACTGTGTAAATTTTATATATATAGAATAATTATGATGATGAATGCATTTTTTTAACCACTAAAATACAGCAACACATCTTTGATTCATGTCGTTTATAACTGGGATATTACAAGTATTATTAACTTTGTCTGTACAAAGTAGTCTGTCCTGGAAATATGCCCAAATCAACAAAAACTGCGAGCCGGCAGGCACGACGCTCCACTTCTGAAATGCTTCTGAAACGCGCCCGGTAGGGTATGACGCCGGAGGAGGCCGGACCAAAACCGCGAAGCAGCCGTAACGCGACGCAGACGGATCCGGTGGAATCGAGAGGTTAGACGGCTCTTTATTCTTGGTGGAGAGGTTGGAATCTGATTGATTGATTCTGTGGACAGGTGTCTTTTATACAGGTAACAAGTTGAGATTAGGAGCACTTTTTTAAAGGAAGAGGACTTATGTAACCCGTCTGTGGAAGCCAGAATTATTTTTGTTGCAAGGGGATCAAATACTTATTTCACACAATTAAATGCAAATCAATTGATATCTCTTATTTAATGTACATTTCTGGATATTCTTTTTGATATGTCTCTCATTAGTCAAATAAACCAACCATTAAAATTATAAACGGTTCATTTCTTTGTAAGTTGGTAAACTTGCAAAATTGGAAAGTGATCAATTAATTATTTCCTTCATTGTATAACATGAAGGTGAGAACTACAAACCCAAATTCCAATGAAGTTGGGACTTTGTGTAAAACGTAAATAAAAACAGAATACAATGATTTGCGAATCCCTTTTTACCTATATTCAATTGAATACCCTACAAAGACAAGATATATAATGGTCAAACGTGTGCAGAATGTGGCTTGGCATTGTCCGGCTGAAATAAGCAGGGACGTCCCTGAAAAAGACGGAGCCGGCTCTAAGCACCGAAAACCGGTTCTTAGCTGGCCCCACTCGGCTGCCCAAGAACCAAGAGCCAATACGTCACGCTTACGTCAGAGGGGGCGAGATTAACCTGAGCTAATAGTTAAAGGCGAGTACGTCAAATACAAGTTGTAACAAGCAGTAGCGCTGAGCAAAGTGACTAGAACGCAACCACACACTTGTAAAAAAAAACACACTTTATAAAGCCAGGCAACACTAACCAGGCTTAGTGTGATTCTGTTTATATTTACCTTACTTTGACCATCCGTTCGCTGTTATTGATCATTGTGGAGAGCAGGCAGACGTTTTGTTTTGTATTGCAGCAGCTATCGGATGGAATCAATAGATGGGCTGCACAGGTTGTCATGTCCGTCTATCACAAGTAGAATCATAATGAAAAATATGCCGGTAGAATGTGCCTGTAGAAAACGGCTTATGCCACAATAGGATAGCAACAAGTGGTCAAGAAAGTCAGATTAGCTGCAGTTGCTATGCTAACATCACCCATTTCATACCAGAGAAACTTTCATAACACCGTTGTGATGCCAAACAGCGTCAATTCATACTGAAACTCATTCACTTATGGGGATGGGGGATATTTATCAGTTGCTTGTGTGCAGTGTTGGGCAAGTTACTTCCAAAAAAAAGAGATTTGGGGGAAGCTGGGTTAATCGGAACATGAGAGTACACAGGTACAGACAGACAGAAAGACGGAGTAAGGTGCCCCCCCCAACAGTCCAAGCCTATAGCAGCTAAACTAACGTGTCTACATACATGCACTCCCTTAGGATAGGTTGAGGGAAAAGGGTAGCAAGTAAGAAGTAGGAAACAGAGGTGGAGAGGCACAAGCAGGGAGTGAGGTCCCCACTGGAACCTGAATTGGTTAGAGGTAAGGAGTAGGTCTGTGGCTACGTTCCACACTCCCGGGCCGGGCTAGGCCTTCTCTGCAACTTGTTACCCTCTATTAGAACCTCGAGAGGTCAGAGAGGGGAAAGGTTTTGGATAAAGTTTTAAATATAAGATCTAAGTTTAGGATTTAAGTGAAAGAGTAAGAGCTAAAATGTATAGGTGAAGGGGCACAACGTATCTACGTCAATGCACTCTTATTAGATTATTTTTATTTTATCACTATAAGCTTTATCAAAAAGGAAGGTCTTAAGCGTACTCTTAAAAACGGATAGGGTGTCTGCCGCCGAACACAAACAGGAAGCTGATTCCACAAATTTGGAGCTTGATAAGAAAAGGCTCTGGCTCCCATTG